TCGTTTTAATTTGTTACTTTTTTTTTCCCCCTCCTCAAAAGCCCTGGAATTCTTACAGGAAAGAGATTTTGAGAGTGAAACATTTTTGTGCCTAGACTGGAATAATGCCCCTTGGGTTTGTTCTTCTTTTTGCTCCTCCTCCCCGCCCCATTTTGGTTTTTTTTTTTTTTGTTTGTTTGATTTTTTTGTTTGTTTGTTTGTTTTCAAGCTTTCCCTGCTATGTCCCACCTTCACGTTCTGGTTGTGCCTCTCCCTCCCTCTTCACTGGGGACTGGGGACCCAAACTGTGCTTCTGCGTTTTTACTCTTCTAGCACAAACATGTCACGTGAGAATCCACGCTGAGGACTGGGCTACTGGTAACAGAAATGTGTAAAATGCAAGTTTGTTTAAAAAAGAAAAAGTTATATAGATGGATATATGCAAATGGTTTCCCCTCCCCTCCTAAACCGCCTACAGAAGGTCACCGTGCCAGGCTTCCTGTCTGTAGGTGGAGAGGAGCAGAGCTGGCCTGCAGGCCCCGAGGCTGCAGTGTGAAGGGGAGGAGACTGAAGTTCATCTGTCTTATCTCTGTTCTGTCAATAAAACGGAGCTGGGTCTTTAGATAAATTATTATTTTAAAGAGGAAGAGTAAGTTTGGGGGTTTATTTTTGTTTTGTTTTTAAATATCTTGGCTTTTTTTTTTTTCTTCTCATCTGTTCAAAATCTCAAATCCTCCACAGTAACAGCCAGACCACGGAGTTAACGCAAACCCAGAGACCCCTATGGATTAATTGTACTGTTTGTGAATTTGTATAAAAAATAACAAAGATCCTCTTAAAACATTTTATATTCTTACAGTAAAAGGTTAAACATATTTATATAATAAAAGAGGAAATATGAAGTATGTTTTTGAAAAAAACCAAGCCGTATCTGTGTTGTCTGTGATTTTTCAAGACGTGTCTCTCTCTGTTGGGGTTGGTAGGTATACCTGGTGGTGGGAGCTTGAGGCTGTGAGTGAGTGATGGAGGAGCTGAGGGAAGGAAGAGAGCCTGGTGCCTCCTGTGCAGGATGTTGAGTAACATCACCATGAGGAGTTTGTAAGGAAGGGGTCTGGCAAGCCCAGCCTTGCCCGTGAGGGTGCTGGCAGCATCTGTGGGGCCAAACCCAGTTCAGCTGCTCTTTGGTGTGAAGCATCCGCTGAGCTTGAGGTCAGACAAACCAAAAGTGCTGAAGCTTGCTAGCAGCTGAACTGACGGTTCCATGCTAGGGGAAGACATTGGTGAGCAGGCAAAGAAGGGCTGTGTTAATTAATCTTTTTAAGCTCCAGGTGTACGGCATGGGAGAGGGTTTTTTGGGTGATTTAAATTGAGGCCTTCACCAGGTGGAAGACACATCAGATGAAACATTTCCCGGCAGTGACAGCCACCAAAAACCCTTCCTCCTTGCTGAGGACCTGGACAATCTGAAATGTCTTAGTTGGCTTCCACTGCCCAGGCAAAGATTAAAGAGAAAGTGAAGTAGGAGCATGTTAAAAAAAAAAAAAGAGTTTGAATAATCTAAGGTGTCCTTTGTCCTAGACCATAATCTTTTGTCCTCAACGTATGACTTTTAACCCGATGGGGTCCCTCTTTAGCCTCCACGACGTGGGGTGTTGTATTGTTGCTGGAGATGGAGCTTAGCAGTGTTTATAGGGCAGCGACAAAGTCTCCCCGGGCCGGCAGGGCTGCTCACCCGCTGCCCCTTGCTCCCTCCAAGGAGGGGGAATGCGAAATGGTGGAAGGAGCTGGAGCCATTGTTCAGCAAAGTTAAAAGAGGAGCTGTCCTTGCTTGCTTGCTCAGTCATGCATACTCAATCTGGCCGGGCCCGGATCCCTATGGAAAGGAGGAGGGCGATTCTTCCCCTCTTTTTAACATTCCTCTCCAGGCCTGGCTGTATTTAAGCTGCTTTCCTCCGCGCCGAGGAGGAGGGAGGGGGATGGTCTGAAGTTCCTGTACATTTGCATTTTAAGCACTTCCAGCAACTGAGCAGGCCACTTTGTTCCCCGCTCCAGCAGGCCTGGCCGGTGCTGCTCCAGGTGGGTCGGATGCCCTACCAAACGCCGTTCCCTCCCGCTGCCTGCCCCGGCTGCTCAACCCCTGCCTCTGCTGGGATTTTTGGCTGAGGCTGTGCTGGGCATACTTTTTTGTTGCCAGCTCTAACCACCTCACCTTTTTTCCATCAGTGCCGCATTTCCAAAGGGAAAATAGCGCCTGCTTCTTAAAAAGAGACACCATTTCCTCTACGTCCTAAGGACCTCGTCTACCTCAAGGTTTGGACTTTAGGGCATGTGTTGTTTTATTCCTCTTTTTCCAAGACTTCCAAGCTTTCTGCTGAGAGTCCTTCACAAAAGCTGCATTGTTCGCTTTAGGGAAAGCCACCACAATTGGATCTAATTGAGCCTGACACTTTATCCATCTTCCTCTACTTGGAGGGAGGTGTGGGGTCTGTCTTTCCTGCCTTAAGAAAAAAGTTTACAGTAATTTCATGATGGAAATAGAACATGTATATATGAATGTTACAAACAATGGGAATTCCAGATCGGGTTCCCATAACAGCTGAAAATTTATTTGTTCCTGGGGTCAGCAGTAGTCCCAGCCAAGGATGGGGAACGAGAAACCTCTCATAAGGTAGGTTTGTTTCTGGTGGGTTTGAGTGAAAATGACATCTCCTTATTAAGCCCCATGTTCACATGGGTGACAGTGGGTCATCTATGTCTAAATACAACGTCTGTGCTCGTAAGCTCTGTAACCAGAACTAGGGCAGGATCCTTTTGTTTTTCCTAAAAAATCCCCCAAACTTCTCCTCACTTAAAAAAAGAAACCAAAAGCATGGCCCAACATCCTCTTCAAGGGGAAGCCAAGCCAAAAGAAGCTGCTGAAACCAAAGCCTCTCTAAATCCCAGTGCTTAAACACCCTGGACCGTTCGCATAGACGGAGCAGGTGCTCCTCATACCTTCCTCCCTCCTCGGGCACAGACACAAGCCAGCGACCATAGCCCGATTGCCACATAACTCCTCAGCATAACAAGGAAACTAAACTTTCACTCTCCAAACACTCTTGAATTTTTGAACATGACTCAGTTGGCAACTGGGGTAAAAAAACATAAAAAACACCCCACTACTTGGAAATGAGCTGGAAGTCTCCTGTCTGTGTCAGCAAGCCCACAGTGCCCCAGCAGGGACTTTGGTGCCAGCCTTCCTCTCTGTGCCCAGCAGAAGTGCTCCCAGGCCATCCAGCCATGCTGGCTGGAGCAGCAGGGTCCCTTGCCTACAGCTGCACAAGCCAGGGCATAGGGGATGGAGGATGAACCAGGGACTTGCTTTATGGCTCTGGGGAGCAGAGGGGCCATGCTCAAGAGAGGGTGGCAGAACACGGGGCAGCGCGGAGCGATGCGAAGGAGGGATGAAGCCACTGAGCAGGAGAGGAGGCGTCCAGGGACGCAGGGGTGGCAGCTGGGGACACTGGCTCACGGGCTGCAGCAAAGCCCTGCGTGTGCATGGGGGCTCCTGGTCTGCTGCAGCAGCTGCTCCCCTGGCCAGATTGGTGGCTAGCTCCTCTCCCTGGGAGATGGGGAGGAAAAGGAGGCTCCACCTGGGTCCTACTGCCCTTGGACTAGCACATGGGAGGTCCACGCATGACAGATTTA